ATCTTTGATGTGACCGCGTTTCATGACATCATGTAATTTTCCAGACCACAGGGCAATAGAAAAGTTTGCAGACTCGTTATTGTTGATGTTTCCATGTGAATTATTCAAAACCAGTTTGCAAAGCTTCAGTAGAGAATATGAACGCAGGCCCAGTGCATCGGCAGAGAACATACAGAGAACATTGACATCGTAAATTACAACATATAAAATGCAAATTGAAAAATGTGAAGAACATGTGCATTACTTACGCATTGCAAGACAGTGGCATGAAAAGGTTTGTGCACCCCTTACAATTGTTATGATTTTCCTTTATAAATCATTGGTTGTTTGGTTAGATATATCATATAGGAGATATTGCAATGTATCGTGGATCCTGTATTGTGAAACCAATTTTGTCAAACCAAATTTGGAGATTCCTAATCCGTTATAGCCACACCCCCCAGAGACTCATGTTTTATAATAATATAAAGACACAGAAAGTTACAGAATGCCCATACTGTATCTGGATGTTCGTTGGGTTTCCGGCTCAGACGTGGAAGTGCTGCTGTAGTGAATCTCTTGAAAACATGCTGTTGGAATGATTCATTTCTCTCATGAGCTGGAGTGACATGGCATTCAAATGCGGTTATCAGAGCACTACTATTTACTACTGTTGGACAGATCCAGAGTGACTGCTGTTTACATTTAGATTGCGTCCTGTATAAATGTTACTTTTTACGCATCTGCTCCATAAGTCATCCATGTAAACCGATCTTTTCTTCCACAAAATTCATATTTTACAATCTTCACTTTCTGGAGATGAAAAAACAGGAAAGTTGGGTACTTTCATTTCAAAATACCAATTTTCATTCTATTTTGAAATAAATGTGATTTCTTTTGAATAACCAGGGGACTATTTCCACAGATTGAAAACATGAGCTGGTTTTCTCCAAAGGAAGACAAATGCATCTGGCCTCAAACTATACCTGCCTGAAGCTAGCATGTGTCACAGCTGGCCCCGAATGATGTTGATGGAGTTTGCCCATTCGCAGACAGAGCACCAGGCCTCCTCTTCCATCAAAACACCCCATGACAGCCACGGTGCGTTCCAGATACCGAGTACCCCCCAATCTTCGTAGATAATCTTGCCTTAACTTGTCATGTTTTTGAACGGCTCATTTGCTACATCTGAAGGACCGGGGGGAATCGTTTCTGTTTTGTATCTGCTTCATCTGATGTTCCCTTATTTTTCCTCTTTATGGGCTTTTCTGACATAAAAGCAGCCGTGCGATTGGAGTGCAGGAAGTGGGATGGAGACAGTGTACTTGTGGGTATGCTGGTGAGTGGAGGGACCATAGTGGCATGCGAGGAACTGTCTCGTGCTGCTCTCGTGCTGCTAAGCCTCCTCTCCTTTGAAGATGGAGAAGAGATGTGCGCTAGACAATCTACCAGGGATTTACTGCAGGATATACAGGCTTTAAATTCTTCCTCTCGTCTGCCCCAGTCTTTGTTCAGTCCTTTATATCCATTCCAACGAGGTGATATTGTGAAGAATGTACAAATATGTGTTCTTTGTAGTTTTATTTTAGTTTTGCAATAGCTTAACTTCTTTCAATAGGGCTTTGCCAAATGGTTGTGATGCAGTTTAAAAGTGCCTAAAAGTGGGATGCTTCAATTAAGTAGATTTCAGTTCCAAGCTTCAAGGATATATAGTCACTCAAAAGGTGATCCACCAAATGATTGAGGAAACAATGAATGGGTTAAATGTAGCAGTGTTAAAGTTTGGGCACCCAACTGTGTAATGATGTAATTAAATCCTTTTTTACTCTAAACTAGTTGATTATCTGATCGGTTGTTGGAGAATCGACGACTTTGTTGAGTTCTTCGAGACAATTACTGTTGTAATTTAGGGCTGTACACAAATACATTTAATTGTATATAATTTGAACACATTGCGGCGGGATGGAATACATAAATGTATCGACTTGTTTTGTTTAAATATTATAATAATTTTGGATTAATGAGATGTCATCAATTCAAAATATATAATTATCTTCTAGAGTCATAGATTTTAACTAGACAGAGAGCAAAAATTGTAATGAATTCTCTAATTATGATTAAACAGCTTAAACACTCCACTTTTACTCTTAAACTTGGCTTTCAGAGATCAACCCCACAACCTGAAAGCGTGAATGGTGGAGTGGCAGGGGCCCAACAAAGGCAAATAAACTATGTGACTGCACAAACAAACGTCCCATGACCTAAAAAGCACTTCAGGATCACATTGAGTGACATGGGCCATAGCAAAGTCCACGAGTTTCTCTTCTGTTCCAAGTCTCTCATCACTCAAAACATATGTGTTTATAGCCGTGTTCAAAAGCCTCTAAACTCTAGGCCTTCCCTTAAGTTAAATACACATTCTTAGTCGATCTCAGTCATCCAGCTGAAAGAAAAGGAAGCCATCAGGAACCCAGGCCGCACGCTTCAAAGACATTTTAATCTATGACCCAAAAAAAGGTGTAATCCTGCCCCATTTCTCCTCTCTCATTAACAGCTCCAATTACAGTAAAAGGAGGTCTCCATAGCGTGGCCCCTCATGGCTCCGGTGCTGGGCCCTTGTACAGCACCCAAGGGACTGGCAGCCAGCAGAATACCCGAAACAAGGGGAGCAGGAGACTCGGCGTAGACAGGCTAACAAGCGTCACACCTCACACTGGGCTTTCTCAGCTCATTAGGGTCAGACACAGTCATTTCAGGGCACGGACAGGACACACCGTCTCTGAGATGGCTCATTAAATGAGCTGAAATGTGCAAAAAAAGAAACTAGTTAAAGTGGTGGACCAGCATTGGCTGCGGTGTCTTGTTATGATCACGGTGCCACCTAGGCTGACTAGATGCATTGTATGCAGCAGCCATGTGTTTTTACAGCCGCAGAGACTTGGAGCAGACAGATCGGACAAATAAATACAGTTGTGCATTATGGCTCATTCTTTGTAGAACTATATTGAATTAGAAATGTTTAACAATGTTGCAAATCTCATATAAATGGTCAAATGATTACAGGTGCTCCAAAGTTTGTGCTTGGTTCTGGGTAATGGGACTTGGACAATGGTTAAAGGATGTGGCAAACGCAGACACCAGATGCCTCTATGGGGACAATGAAATCGTTTTCCCAAAGAACACAATTGCACTTGTTTGAACTTGAAAGCACTTATACCATTTTTCTTAGATCATAGAAAATGAAAGTTATTATTTCTATTCCAACAGTTCTAGAACAATGTAATGTTACTCCAGTGTGCTGTTGAAGTCAATTGGAACAGAATTTAGCATCTAGATAAAATCATATATATATATATATATATATATTCCACTATATATATATTATAATATATATATATATTCCACTATATATATATATATATATATATATATATATATAATATATACTATATATATATATATATATATTCTTTCTTTTATTTCAAAAACATTATTTTATGAGCATTGTATTATGCTACAAAGCTAAACATTTATTTATTTCAGTATCTTACGTACAGTAAGTAATTTATAGGAATCAGTTTGTTAGTATTTTCCAGTGGATTTTGAGATGCTTTTTTATTTGAAATTGAAGTTTAAATAGTTTGCAAATTTTTAAAAGTTTAGAACGTTTCCCAGGAAAGACTCATAACCCACTTTTGGGACTCAACCTGTCCAGTTGAGAATGACTGATGCCAATATGTTGTTGCCCTGTGTATGAATCGTGCTAATACACTATCTAAGCATTTTCATGAGACCCCGCTTTAGTTTCTTTAGTTTTCAGTATTAAATACATACATGTATTGCTCAGCTGCCTTCAGCCCGTGTGTGCCAAGGTCGGGCTGCGGCTGCTGTTTCACCGCTGGGAGAGTCTGGCAGCCAGAACATGACACATTCACGCACTCACAATAAGTGAAATAAGCCTGAATGTTCGCCTGGTCACCGCCAACACACACTGTGGCTTCTCACATTCTAAACGTGCGGTGGTCTATGTGCATTATGTTTCCCTCAGCTCAAAACCACTGCCACCATAACACTGGGCTCTGGCACAGCCTCTGAGGTCTGGGCCACACTCAACAAAGTGGAGTAAGAGGCTTTCCATCATTATTGAGGTTGAGTTCAATGTAAGAATGCTTTTGACACATCTTCCAGCCATTCGACACTGCCATGACTCCCAGAAACATGCGGTACACACCAGACACCAGCTTTACGAGGAGAGGATCCGGGGGCTACTGGTGGCAATGCAACAAAGTCATTAAAATAGTTGGCCTCCAATTACATAGTGCAGTTTACCACAAGTGGTACTTGGACCTGTTCTCAGCCAATTGTAGAAATCTATTTACTGCATTGAAAGAGTGCTTTTGTCATATTTAAAATCTACTAATTTGTTTGTTTTTTTGTTTGATATTCCACTTTTAGGAATAGTTTGTTCAAGGTGTGAAAAAGTATTCAAAGACGAACAGACTCTCAACACTGACACACAGCAATTACTATTTCAACCCAATAGAACAGGGGTGTCCAACGTTTGTGTAAGATAGGCACTTTAGTTAATCAGATTTCTCCAGAGGCCGGCAGCACAGATTTCAAAAACTTTTTTGACTGGCTTTGGGCTGCTCTGAGCTTTAAAATTGACCTTTGTGACACAATTAAAAACAACTGTTAATTTCTATAGTTGACGACTGGCTTCCAGGGTTCTGAGCTTTACAACAAGGTACAGCATGACTGTATTGGTCGAATTGAAGTTGGCAGGGTGACACTTTGGGTCTTTTCATGTGGCAAGGGGGCACACAAAAAGAGTTTGGACATGCCCTGCCATAGGAGAAGTGGCATCTATGGCATATACATCAGAGCCTCCCACAGTCTGGGGTATAGCAGCCCCCCAGAACCAATCCCCTGGGGCCCCGATGTCATTTAGCTCTTTACATTGAAGAGTTATTATGGTTTTCCTTTTAAACTTACACCATAACCAATAAACATACACAATTTCAGTTGTGCCCCCCACAGTGCCTCTGAGAACCCAAGGGCCCCTTGGACTCTACACAGCACAGATAGTCAATTTTATATACAATCTAAGGGTGTGTTATAAGAAATTAAAACAATCCATTCATGGATTCAAATCTCTTTTAATAATTACATAAATATTTGAAGGTGTAAATGAAATAATTTGCCATTGCTTAAAGGTGGGGTACTTAATTTCTATTTTTGTCCCTGCAGTGAGTCTTGTAACTAAGTGGACTACATGCTGTCTAGTGGGAAACATTTAATCTTTTGTATACTTCTTGAAAGAGCCCTGTGAGTCACTTTGTGACGCTTTAGGCTGAGAGCTGTTTGGCAGAGTGAGCATGGTCCTTTATTTTTTGGTATTTGAAAAAGCTGATCTGAAGATGTAATGGAGGCCCGAAAAGACAAGCACGAGAAAACTATTGAGAGAACCGAAGGTGAGATTGTTCCACGGTTTGAAAATAAATTACCCCACCTTAAAGAAGACATGGGCTTTTGTCTGCTATGTGCTCTATAAACTTGGCAGTTTTACAGATCATAATTTATAAAGAGCCATCTTTTATTTTTAACAGGAGCTTATCCTCCACCCTCCAACCACCTCCCATTTCAAAACCAGCCCATGTTGTAACAGCAGGAATTCATAAGAGCTCAGGTGGTGGATTAAGTGGTTGGTAAAAGTATCCATTTGAGGCCCTTCACCCAAAGACTCTCGTAATCCCAGCTAACGTCTGGTCCTCTTTAACGACACTAAAGGAATCAGACAGAAACTTACCTGTGGACTAGTTTTAACTTTCTCTCGCATTTCTGCCTGCCATTAATGATTTAGTGAGGTGGAAGTGTGTGGCGTCAGCTCTGAGAAGCAATTAGAGCTTTATGAGGGGGTACCAATTCCAGCAATTTCCAATAACCCTTCACGAGAGAAATCAGTGCTTTTAAATGGCAAAATGGTGCCACTTTGTTCACCTCAAGACACACCAAAGTACAAATTTGGGGCTAGAAGCAATTCTTAGTTATTAGGAGTGGTGCAGGGCGACTTAAGCGCACTTATGTCTGACTGCACCCTGCGTATAATTATGTCGTCTCAAACCAGCTCTATTTCAAGTCGTTAAAGGACAATTAGCACGGCAAATAAATCCAAGCACTTTTAGGAGGAATTTCACATAATTAGCAGGCTGGATCACTGTGTATAATTACAATCAGCGTCTGTGTTTTTGATCACATCGTTTGCGGCAGCTTTGACTTTGTAGATTAATTTTTCTGTCTTGGCTTATTATGGTTTTATAGCAGCAATTAGGACATTTTAGGCATCTTAAACAGTCAGAAGGAGAAATTGTATTCTTACTGAAGCATGTAGCCGCTACTTTGACAGCTTTTGTATCAGCATATTTGACAGGTCACTAGATTTGATTGTAAAATGAACAGATTTTCTATGGAAATTAATAAACCCTCTCTGAATGAACGTGTAAAGCCAATCTTATTTCTTCTTTTTCAGAATTTGTGTGCATGTGAGGCACTTTGGCCAGCTGGTACAGTTGTAAATGTGCAATAAAAATAAAGTGCCTGGAAATACAAAATACTTTTAGCAATGCCAAAGCTTTCTAAAAATATTTTTATGTCATTCAATTTCAGGGGGATTTGCAGACATTTTCTCCATGTTTTTAAACAAGATATATCGCTGTATAGCTTTTGGCAATTTTGTGGCGTTTTATGCTTCTATACTTTCTGATTCAGACACAAATCAAGATGGTCCATGTTTCAAAATAACATAAAAAGATACAACATGAAAGTGCATAAGTCCTCTTTATTTGATGCATACAAATATAAAGCAAATGTGGACAAAACATTTTTTAGACACATTTAACAGTTTAAAGCAGGGGGACCAAACGTTTAGTTTCATGAATATTCCAATGGAGAAAGTAAAATGTTATAAACAAATGAGACCACAACATAATGTCCTTTTAGGACACATCTTTTTCATACAACACTGTGCGTCACTATATAACGCTGTAGGGCAGATAGGCAGGGGAATTGTCTATTTTTTCACTTTTCAGTCTGGAAAATGGCTGTGACAAAGGCTAAAACAAGGGCACGCATGTGACAAAAACTATAGACCGAAACTGTCATTAATAGCGGATGAACTATGGTTTTTAATGTGGTGCAGTATATTTATTTGCATTTTTGTGATTATGAAGGGGTGGGAGTTGGTACCCAACCTTTAATGCCTCTTCAATCACAACGGAAACTAGGTCTAGACTCACGTGTGTCACAGGCTGTGCTTCCCTTGGCATCCCTCCGTGCGCAGAAGGTGGTGTGGTTGGTGGCTGGAGCGGCCGTCTCCAAGAGCTGGTCCTGGCTTGATGGAGGTTCGCCCTTGGGTCGCGCGGCTGACACCTGGTGCGTCCTGAGCGCAGCCACGGAGAACGAACACCACGCAGCACCTATTCCACTGTGGACACCGAGCAATGCCTTGAGCGACGGACGCGCGAACAATCGATTAGGAAGTCGATCTAGGAAATATCGCCTCCCGTTTGGGTCAGTGTCCATAGCCGTGCGCGCGCCTCTGGATGGATGGAATGGATGGATGGATGGATGGGATGGATGGCCACCAGTGCGCGTCCTTACATCTATTCCCGAGCTCCCCCTCTCTGAGGGTCAGGTTGTGACTGAAGGCTCTGCAACTGCAGCACCACAGTTTATTATTATCTCGGAATGGACTTTTTTTTTCGCCGGTAAAGAGCCATAATGAGCTGTGCGCTTCCCTCCGCCCCCGCCACAGCTGGGACAACGACGAAAACTGATCTGCGCGCAATGCATGCTCTTGGGCCTCAGCGAAGCAAAGCCCCTGCACGAGGAGCCACCCTGTGGGGAGAAAGCTTTGCAGAGAGAACAATGGATGTTTTTAACTAAGACCCTTGACCCTTTAACTGCCAGCCGTTACAGCGCAAATGGGAAATGGATGTATGTGGCTGCTACACATGGTTTATGAGTCTGGTGAGTCAGACAGACAAGCAAAATATAGAACCACGCATCTTTCTGCAACCTTACATATTGTCATATCTTTATTACAAAACACGAACGATGTCGGTGTTTTAAATCGATTTTTACATCCGACCCAATTTAGGCTTACCCATTATATTATCTGAGCTGGAAAATTACCCTGCAACTTGTGTGAAAAACATATATAGTCCTATTATAAAAGTTAATGCCATTATGGTAAGAAGGACGACAATATTGATAATGATAAAGATTTAATGCAACAGATTTGATATAAGCGCTTTTTTTTCATTTTCATTCACAAGACATTAATTCATTCCAAACAGAGTGGAAACAACTACTGCAGCATGGCTACTGCCCTGGGGCCAACAGTGGCTTACAGTAGTGTAGCTTCACCACACAACCAGTAATGTGCCATCATTACCCCTCACACACAACACACACACACGCACCACCACACACACAATACACCCACATTCGAATCCAGTGATTGAAGTGGCAGTTGCAACTTTGCAGCTGCCCACTGTGGCACCCCCTAGGTGTGTTCCCAGAGGTCTCCCATCACAGTAACTAACCATCTAGCAACAAAATAATAATTTTTGGACTGACTAAACACTACACCCTTATCACCAAACACAAGGCAATGCACCTGGAGTTGCCACAGTGTTGTGTGGTTATAGCTTGAGCTGCACCTGCTAGCGTGCTGGATTAAAAAAAATGCAAAAGCTAAACACAAACAAAATATTGCACAGCTACAGATATGTTGCTCCCAATAAGAAGTCTTGATGAAGGTCCCTCAGCCCAAAACGTCAACTACTACTCAACGATGGTCTCGAAACTACAAGAGACTTATTGGGAGCACCGTAACTGCAGATATTTTTTACTGTAATGGTATGGGTGGGGGGGGGGGGGGGGGAGGGGGGGTGGGGGGGGGGGTGGTGTGGGGGGTGGGGGGGTGGGGGGGGGGGGGGGGGGGGGGGGGGGGGGGGGGGGGGTGGGGGGGTGGGGGGGGGGGGGGGGGGGGGGGGGGGGGTGGGGGGTGGGGGGGGTGGGAGGGGGGGGGGGGGGGGGGGGGGGGGGGGGGGGGGGGGGGGGGGGGGGGGGGGGGGGGGGGGGGGGGGGGCGGGGGGGTGGTGGGGGGTGAGGGGTGGGTGGGGGTGTGGGGGGGGGTGGGGGGGGGGGGGGGGGAGGGGGGGGGGGGGGGGGGGGGGGGGTGGGCGGGGGGGGGGGGGTGGTTGGTGGGGGGGGCACCAAACTATTGTGCATACAGCAACATTTCTTAAACGGGTACAAAATTGATGTACTTGCTGTAGCATAACAGAAAAAACATTGGTAAAAACTCGGTTCAAGAAGTTGAATATTTTGTTCAACAAAGTCCAATTTATTTTTACAATTTGACTAATGTGGGAAACAAATATAAGACACGCAAAGTGTGGTTGTAAAAAAGCCTATTCGCTCACAGCTTTTAAAATCCCCAATCAAATTTAGATTATTTTGGAAAATGGACTGTAATTATACGTAATCATCACCAAATGTGGCATAATGTCCACTCTGGCATTAATGTATAGTTGAATTACAGAACTTTTGGAACATAATCTCTACCTAGTCTACAACATAAGTGGAGGAAAATACTGAAACAAGCCTCAGCTCCAGGATCTTCCGCCTCAGTTCCTGGATCTACAGCCTCAAGTCCTGGAGTCTACAGCCTCAGTCTGGATCTACAGCCTCAGTCCTGGATCTACAGCCTCAGGTCCTGGATCTACCAGCCTCAGTCCTGGATCTACAGCCTCAGTCCTGGAATCTACAGCCTCAGTCTGGATCTACAGCCTCAGTCCTGGATCTACAGCCTCAGTCCTGGATCTACAGCCTCAGTCCGGATCTACAGCCTCAGTCCTGGATCTACAGCCTCAAGTCCTGGATCTACAGCCTCAATCCTGGATCTACAAGCCTCAGTACTGGATCTACAGCCTCAGTCCTGGATCTACAGCCTCAGTCCTGGATCTACAGCCTCAGTTCTGGATCTACAGCCTCAGTCCTGGAGCTACAGCCTCAGGTCCTGGATCTACAGCCTCAGTCCTGGATTCTACAGCCTCAGTCCTGGATCTACAGCCTCCGGTCCTGGATCTACAGCCTCGCGGTCCTGGATCTACCAGCCTCGGTCCTGGATCTGCAGCCTCAGTAGTGACGCTGCAGGCTATCCTCTCCTAAAATATGGGTCCTCTCCCCATAGGTTTTCTGCTTTTACCATTTCTTATGTTCTAACAGTTTGATTCTGTCGGTAAATCAACAACTTTGGAGAATCCGAAGACTGGTGTTTTATTTAGAGCTATTCAAAAGTAAAATCAAACTAAATGGAATTGGCTGCACTCAAATGGATACTCAACTGTGATTTTCATTTCACAAGTGTTTGCCACTTTACACAATTGTTGTTATGGAAAATGGGTCTTTCACAAAAATCCCATCAAATATTGTTGTGATTGTTGATGAGTTATAAAAACTGGGGGCGCGACAAGCTCTGAAATTAAACAGATCAGCCAAAGAGCAGGAAGCCCTTTCTTAACATTCCTGAATAAGTTAAAATCCAAACTGATAACCATTGTTTCCTCTGTGGGAATGGATCCTCATGAGCAAGGAATGCACAGGCCGATAAAGTAGTGATACACGTATTATGAAGGTCATTGTGTCTCCTGGCGACGCTGTGTATCTGGGTGTAAGTTACATTCATGTGGTCGATGATGATACAAAGAGTCTTAGAGTCAGGTAAAGCTCATTTGACAATAGGTAGATTATTCATAGATCGTATCAGTATGCCACAAACGCCATGTCAAACATCAAATGAAGTCAGGTGGGTGAGTTTTTTCTCTCATTAAATGTAGATCAAGCAACAAAGGGTGTTATCAGTCTGGCGTCCGTCACTAACATTTCCCAATGGTTTCTATAAGGCTACACACCTCCCATGGTTCACATATGGGGCTGGGATGAAACTAGAACACACGGCAAAACTTCTGACACTCAAAAGTGATCCATCACAGCCTCCAATTCAGAGCGTCCAAGTTCTATTGTGGCAGACAATGGGCGACCGGACTGAATGGGGATGGGAGGAAGTATTGGACTTGTCTGCTGTAACCGTAGCTCTCAAGGTGATACTATTTTAGCCACTTTTGTCGCCCAGGGTACAGTCAATTACTTGAAAGTCTGCAATCAGACATAGAGACTTTCAACGCGTTTCCTCTTCACAAGTGATCGTGACACAAGTATTATGATTTACAATGGGGGGTTTGCTTCAATAGCTTCTTGTGTTATAGCATTCACTGAATTGGTAGAACTAAGAGCAATATGCTTCATGTCCACACAGTCGGACATGTGATCCCCAAAATCCAGCTGAACCATTAGGACTAAAAGTTCTTAAAGGACTGTGTGTACATTTATGAATCCCTTGTTTATCGTGCGGGTTATGTTCTAAATATAACCGTAATAAGCAAATATCCTTGAAGCGGCAACTTTATGTTTAAGGCTGTAAAAACTCTCACCATACACTTTATACAACTTTTCAAACCACCTGAAGATATCAAACCGGTTCAATCTGGGTCTGGAGCACTGCTGCAGCTTTAAAAAGTCGTGCAGCTGCAGCGAACAGAGGGGCAGGAGCAGGACCTCCGCAGAAGAGCGGAAACGCATCCTTTTTCACCGCCGCCATCTTTTCCGGAAAAAGGACATGAAAATCTTGAGAAATACCTAGGTCTCAGAGAGGAGCGGGAGGAGGGCCTGGAGGGTAAAAGGTGACAGTAGTGCCGTGGTGTTCGGTGCACTCGGGGGGCTGTGACCCGAAGCTAGAAGAGGTTACTGGTGGATCCCTGGAACAACCTCAGGACATGGGTCACAGAAATGTGCAGTGCTAGGAACAGCAAGATACTGAGCAGAACCTCAGGCTCCCAGGGCCTCTGGTAGAGGACCCGAGCTTAGAGAGGGATAACCGCCCGCGGAAGGGCAAAGGTGAATGGACAGTTTTATATGTTATGTATAGGAATGTGGGTGATTCTGCCTCTCACATGAACCAACTGTACCTTCACGTTCACTGAAGGCCTGTTGAAAACTGGTTCCTGGCCCCGGGCATGTAATCCTGGATGTACCAGTGGGAGTGTCGCCCGAGAAGTTCTCATGGTACTCGCACACTCTTCGTCATCGGTGATGCCGTAAACTTGGACTCAAAACCCAGAGACAAAAGATTTTTATCTGGAAACATGAGTGATGGTGTTACCCAGCGGATATGAAAGGAGGACAACGCACAGAAATACAGCAGAGCCTAAAAAAACATGTTTAGTGTAATTTTTAAAGAGTAGAAACGATAGGAGAGAGGTGTAGGGTCAGAGAGTGTTTGGGTCTAGGCTTGTGTGTGTGTACTTGGAAATAATTTAATACATAAAATACATTTTTATTTTATATGGCACCTCGAGGTAGCCAGTAAAAGGGTACACAGTTAAAAGAAATAACAGTGTTGAGTGTTAATTGTTTTTCACCCAATATTACCATTCTATATTTGCTAATTCTGTCACTATAAATTGAAAACTATAACACTAAAACACTATTTTACATTTATTAAAAATCCCACGTCAAAGTGGTCTAGTCCTGGCACAGAGCGACCTGTTTTAATAAAGCCATATTGATATACTGGAAAAAAGATCTTAAATATGAATAATAACAATAATAATTGATTTATCCTATCATTTGTTATTATGTTGATTCTTATTATTATTATTATTTTCATTATCATTATTATTTTTATTGTTATTATTAGGCCTTGTCTTGGGTCATGGGTTGGGGACAGTGTCATTCTCCACTCCATACCTCAGTGGTGTTAAATATACTGGGTGTAGGGTTCGCCTTTGGTGCTATGAACGACGGTGACTTTTTCTGTCACATTTCTGAAGATTTGTCTGTCTTTTGCTTAACCTAAAACGCATTCGCTCGATCAGGGCACTTTCTATACAGCCAAACTTTTACTTTTTATTGCTGATGGGTTTTATGGGATTATTGTTTCTTGTGGTCCACTGATGAATGCTGCCGTTGGTCTTGGGCAAGACATTAACCCCACTTTGCATGAAAGCCCCCTGCTGAATAAGATCAAGGCCTGTGGACCTCAGCTACCTGCAGGAGGTCAGTGAGGGGCTGGGGCTACTGGGGCCTGGGTGCAGCTCTGAATGCCACCCCCCGACCCAGAAATGGAGATTAAGGGGAAGAAAATGGATGGATATTTCATTGTGGTCTGAGAATCTGGCACCCATCTGTAAAACTTAATCTGTTTGTCGATTGAAAAACGGTTGATTTTTTTTGTTACGACATAAAAAACTCCATTAGGCAAAATACCCATATATCTAAAAACGTTTTAATAAATGTTTTATACAAAAAACAAAGAAGTAATTATTGAACCTTTTGGGTCCATCTGCTCCCGCATCCCACAGACATTTTGAATTTATTTGATCCTAAAACACACAATTATGAGTCATATTTTTTAAGTCTTGTTTAAGTTATAATTGTATTTTCTTACCTGGAGGATTGGCGAGTTCTTGCAATTAAACCACATTTTGATATTTTAAGTTCATGATAGATCTTGGTCTATATTTTATTCTTTTATTGTTTTACATTTTGAGTAGTTTTATCTCCAGATACGAGCCGCTGCTTGTTTCCATTGCATTCGCATGTTTAGTTCGCAGGAGGGTTAGCATTTAGCCTTTCATCTGTTTTTCAAGTTATATTCACCAGTTTTAGCACTAGTAAAGTAGATGACAAACCCATTCAAAACAAAAATGGTCAGGGCGGTAATTACTCAGATTTCATCAGGTTTTAATGGAGCAGGTGTGAAAAATGGCGGCTCAGTAGTTGTAATATAATTCCTAATCCATAATGAGAGTTTCAAAAGTGTATAATCGTTAGTTACTATAGTCTAGTATAGTGATGTTAGTATAGTGTTGTATTGTTATAGTGATGTGTCGTATAGTGTAGTGTAGTGTAGTATAGTAATAGTATAGTATTGTTAGTGTAGTGTTTAGTAGTTGTAGTATAGTGGTAGTGTAGTGTTTGTATAGTGTAGTATAGTTATAGTTTTGTAAAAGATAGAGTATAGTGTATAGTATTGTATAGTATAGTAAGTAGAGTTTAGTGTAAGTATAGTGATGTATAGTAACAGTAGTGTATAGTCATAGTATAGTTATAGTGTAGTATTGTGTAGTGTTGTGTAGGTATAGTTGTTGTATAGTATAGTATAGTATAGTTTAGTGTTAGTGTA